TATTGATCTACCAATCATAATAAAGACGTCTGGTTTAAACAGCTTTTATCCGAGAATGCACCATACTATAGGTACCTTCTTGCCCGAGAAGGTGCACCTTCACAGGCAAATCGGCCACGATTTCTCTTTCGTCCATTTCAATATCTGTCTGTATACGAATTCCCCTACAGGTCGTATTTTCAGTCGTGGGCGGATTTTCATTGGGGTACTGGTCTTCATATCATCCACTAACTTTACTTCAGCATTATTTAGGCAGGAGCAGTATTTAATCTTAGTCCATAGATCCATTACATACTACTATACAACGATTTTCACAAAGGTATAATGTTAGGGTGGGTGGGTACAGCTTTAGACGAACTATTATTTTAGTTGAATTATGTTAGTGTTTGTTTTTTTGCGTAGAAACGGATTACATTATAATTTTTTCTTTAGAAATCAGGAATGCTTTTGCTTTTCTGATTTTTAATACAAGAATTAATGCTCTCTAACAGTGAGCTATATATAGTTTTTTTGTTTTGGTATATAGTTCACTTGAATGTTTCTGAAAACTCAATCGTTCGTTATATCTATATCAATATAAATATTTATATATAAAGGGTGTCTCAGTAGGAGGCATTATCATCATCAACAGCCTTTAACAGTCTACTGCTGGACATAAGCCTCTCTCCTCAGTAAGAGTGCACATTTTAAATTTAGAATATTTTTTTTTTCGTGCAAGTGGCAACTCTGAAATTGGTCAGTTGTCACATATGTTTATTCCGATTATTAAAAATGGAGCGCTTTTGGAAAGAACAACTCGTTATAATTGAGAAAACTCATTACAAAAATGGGGAAAGTTACACTGAAACCGCTCGCAAACTTCGCCAAATTTTCAGTCAGAAAGTGCACCTAATGTGTTCACCTATCGAAGAAATTTTAAGAAACTGGGTCGATTATGGCTATTAAGAATCCTTTGCGTAACGTAGAACCGAAAACCCGAAAACATCAATTCGGCATCGTTCTCAACAACTTCAAATTTCACGAAGCACTTTTCAAGCGAATTTTGACAAAAGACCTCCACCTTAATGCGTAAAAGATTCTGCTAACTCAGGAGCTCAAACCAGCAGACCAGAATGGGTAAAGTGAAGTCGATGCCAATTTTACGAAAAAAGTCTTCTCCGATGAAGCGCATTTCCATCTAAATAGCTACGTCAATACACAAAATTGTCGAATTTGGGGTTCAGAAAATCCTCATGCAATCTATGTGAAACAAATGCGCCCACAACGAGCAACATTCTGGTGCGGATTTTGGTCAGGCGGGGTCATTGGGCCTTACTTTTTTGAAGATGAGGCCGAAATTGCAGTGACTGTGAACGGCATAGATCAGGACAATATATGGTTTCAGCTGGACGGCGCTACCTGCCACACCGCGCATGAAACAATCGACGCATCAACGATTTCCATTATCTCACCAAATTCTGATGTCAGCTGGCCACCATTTAACGCCGTGCGAATTTTTTCTTTGGGGTTTTGTGAAATCTCGGGTTTATGCGAATAAACCAGAAACAATTCCTGAGCTCAAATCAGAGATCCAATTTTATTCCATAAGTAATCGGAACATGTCTTCTTTACAATCAAATAAACATATCACAACTCTCATAAAATATACATAAAAAAAAGTTCTTTGGTATTTAATAAAACGGATAAAATGTTTTAATAACTGCGTAATATGTGGGTTATGTTTTAGAACATCATTTGGAAAATATACCACAACAACGTGAAGCGAACCATGTCCTTCACGGGTCGTTTACAGACGGTGTGGTCTTGTGTGTTACATTACCTTATTTGTTGAAGTGATAAACATACGCCTATGTGTGTGTGTGTCGTAGTCACTGACGCAATTTGATAACACCGTGCTTACATCGGTATCAACATGCGCGTTCTACTTGTTTACTTATTATGTTTTAATTCAAAATTTTTGGTGATTTTGTTTTTTTTTTTTTCCAAATGTTCTCATTCCGTTATCAATTATTTTTTAGCTTGACTTGTAACTAACTTTGTAAAAAAACTGGAATCCTAGCTGTATTGACGTACTTTAAACTGTCATATCAAAATTAAACTCTGTATGTATTTTATTGCCGCTGCTGGACACAGGCCTCTTCTTAGAAAGGAGGTTTTGGCCTACTATACCACGCTGGCCAGACGGGTTGGTATAGGGTTTGTGTCAAGTTTTCCTTCTCTATGCAGTGCTGTTATTCTGCGTAGTTTGCTCTCTTAGTCGACTCGTTCGACACCCACGGGCTGAATAGGGTATTGACACTCTGAATACTTAAACCATCACCACACGGACGAATAAAGCATGAGTAGCAGAATATTCGAAAATATGTAATAAAACCCCTCCTCATGCCGTCTCATCTGAGTTTTGGGTAAAAAATAAACTAACAAAATATTAATAATTTGACGACCGGATGGCGTAGTGGTTTGTGTTCCAAAGGACACGGACTGATATTCCAAAGGTCGCGGGTTCGATTCCCGCTCAATTCAAACATTTCTGTGCATGAACATTTAATGTTTGTTTTGGTCTGGGTGTTTCTATGTATAATAAGGATGTATTTACAAAAAAAAAGTATAAATGTATTTATTTAAGTTGTCTAGTACCTATAGAATTAGCTCTGCTTAGTTTGGGACTATATGGCGTTGTGCGAATGTGGTAGAATATTATTATTGTTATTAATAATGAAATATCATCCAAGTTAATTAAATTAAGAAATAGTAGTAATTATCATGTCAAACTTTGGTTATCTAAGCAAAAGGTCACAATGCGATGCTCTTTAAATATTAAAGTTACTTAACTATATCACCAATTAGATTTATTTAAAAGCACAATATTTTGGTTCACTAGTTTATGATTTAACATATTGTCACAAAAAAAATCGCTCACATTCCAGAAGGTTTGATTATCCGCAATTCCGGGAACCGTTTAATAATAATGGATGTTGGCATGGAACAATAAGTTCTATACCAATACACATAAGATCGAAGGTAGATGTATGTATAGTAAAAAGTCGTGCGATTATCTTGTTTACATTCGAATCGAATTTATTTCTCTTTCTCTTGATTTCTCACAAGCGGACTCAGACTCAGAAGCGGAATCGGAATTTGCTAAAATGATCTTTTACGAGTATTATAAATACGGACACGTCTTCTTTGGAGTCAGTTCAGTTCGAGCTACAGTGCGATAAACATCGATTGGTCTAGTCCACCAAGTAATTGTCGTTCAATGTGGTCGCCGATAGTACTTAATAGGAACGGCGGACCATCAATTCTCGTAGACGCTGATTTGCGTCATAATTGTTTGACATGTGACTATCTGACAATTAAATGCGCAAAACAAACCATCGAGAGTGTTTCTGGAAAACGAAAGCCTTCATAAAGAGTTAAAATATTAAATTGGCTTCTTCCAATATTCCTATCTGCATATAACATGACTTTAATGTAGTGTGCGCAGCCGTGTAAATAGTAATTTTATCCGCGTCTCATTTATTAAAACGTGACTATAGTCGCGTGCGCAACTCTGCGCAAGTAACAGTATATTGATTGACGTTTACTAGGCATTTCCAAAGCTATGTGCTAGGAATTTAAAAGTTAAATTACTAATAATAAGCAGTTCCGCTTGCGGTCTAGCAAGTAATCTTTTTTAACGCCTTTTGAATGTTACCCCCTATACTATAGTACTTTCTTATACACTAGTAGGCCAAAACCTCCTTTCTAAGGAGAGGCCTATGTCCAGTGGACTGTTATAGGCTGTTGATGATGATGTGTCTGGGTCACACTTTTCATACTACTCTATTCTATAGGAGACATATATATAATCGTAATAGGAGAAATTTTAGAATATATAAAGGTTTCGTCATTATAACAACAACTCCATAAAAGAACTGGAATATTCACAATACTGCAAATATAACTAAACTACACTAAAATATATACTAAAACTATACTCAAGACGTAATAGCATTCATGTTATTTGCTCTTAGTAAACTTCTTCTTCTTTTTCTTTTAACCGCAATCAACCCGCTGGAAATCATTGGGGAGAGGCCTATGTCCAGCAGTGGACAAGCATAGGCTGAGGTGATGATGATGATAATGAAACTTCTTTTTACATTTGATAAAACAAGTTGGATCTTATTATGCTATTTGTGATTAAGCTAAGTTTGAGATTAAACGAGTACACCTATTATTTTATTGGTTTACCTTTCACTTCGTTTTTCGTATACAGTAAATCCAGTCATAAAATTACAATAACAGTTCCACAAAAAACGAATTTTCTTTACAGCAATAAGTGATTGTGTCGCGTGCGTAATCGACATAAACATGATTGCTTTTCGGCTTCTATAGTTTGTGTTCGCCACGATATCGACCTATGATTGATACTTCCGTAGCACCATTCACCATCCCATTTTTATTGGTTCCTGACTAAATAGCTTGAAGGAAAGCGAATGCGTATTCTCTTATTATTAAACAATAAAAATGACAATAGCTTTGGGTCTTGTTCGAAGCTACTTGAGGTCTCGATATTCGCTTTTTCTACGAATTTCTTATTTGTACATTCCTAGCAAAGTTACCGTTAAAAATTATCCCTTATTTTGATCTTCCTGTGTAATTGTTATTCAATTTGTCGTGTTATTCACCTCCAGTGCCCAATTACAATACTCGTTGGCTATTCTATCTAGTATTTTTAACATAAATACAATATACTGTGTAGGTATTTTAACGGGCATGGCTCAGAGATCTATTTACTGCTTCCAGTGTATGATAAAAGGTCCCGTTGATTGAGCGATTGCAGTTTTACAAGTGCAAGTTAATTTTGTACTTCAAATGATGACACACGCAGTACTGCCTTGCTACAGTTTTACTTATTAAAGGTTTTATTAGATCATATTAATAATAATAATTAATTTATTAAGAAGAACATTCTACACCTTACATATCACCAAAAAATTTTTTTTGTTTAAGTTGATATGGTAAACGTTGTCAGCCTTACTAGTATGAACTGTGTTACGGCTTAAAGTTCTAGTTATAATTCCCTAACGTAGTAATAAGCTAAGGTACATTAAGCTAAGTAATTCACCGAAATGCCTAAATAATACTCACTGGCTCCAATCACTTAATAAATAATATTAAAAACAGTCACCTAGCTTCACCACATACAGTAAATACTATTTGTTTTTATTTGTCGGGCCTGTTGGTCTAGTGGCACTATATTTAATGGAACTAGAAATAAATAAGTAGGTATGTATATTTATCAGCAGTAACTATAGTACAGGCTCTGCCTAATTTGGGATCAGCCGGCCGCGTGTGAAATGTGTGAAATTATTATTATTATTATTTGTGTCACCTTACCGGGGTATACGATGAAGGAGTATGTTGAGATCGAGATGACTAAGAAACGCTGTTTCATCAGAAGTGTATCTATCTATTGAAAAGGGGTCCTTTATATCTTAGGTAGTCCCGAAAACCCAAACAGGCTTTAGATACCTCTTTAATCATAGACAGCATGGCGAATACGTGTCTTGACCCTTTTCCGGTTAAAAAAACGCACACGGGGAACATAAACCACCCCACAAGTCCTAGAACCTATGTAACGATAAATTGACAGGAATCATTTTTAATAGAACACACCTGTTCTTTATAAATAATCTATTAAAATACTTTATTTCTTATACTATCTTAAATTTAAATTCAATCTAGCCGTCACTGAATTACAAACAAGGTAACATTTTTGTACAAATGTTATTAACATGTATATAGATACTATACTATATATATATATATATATAGTCAGCTGTAAAGTACCTAAGTATTAAACAAATAAATACAAAGAAAAATTATAAAAAAAGAAGCGTAAATTTTTATTTTCGTAATTCTTAAAAATAAATTTGTACATACAATTGTTTCAAGCTTCTAAAATTTTCAAGTACATATGTATGTATTAGATCCTAACCTGATATTGAATGGAACTCGTAAAAAATCTGTAAACACAGATTATAGATTGCTTTGAGTATTTTTGTAGTAACTCGTAAATTTTCTGTAAAACCTACTCAAAAAATACTTTCACACCATAATTAATGGAATATTCTCTCAAAATAATACATGTGGCCCAAGGAAGGAACAGATTGTCTGACAAGTATGGTTCAAATCTACGTGTAGCAATAGTTCAGCTTTTGTGTGCAGATGTTTTCTCCCATTTGAAATGTACTTAACTATCTTAACTAATCACGTCGATCTTTTTGTACATTTTGTACATTTTTTGTACAGAACAAGTGCTGGTCAGGCGTCGGGCCGGGCAACTGCACCGCGCCCGTCGTGCCGAGTCGCGCGTGCGATGCGGAGCGGTCCCCACCGCCTGCGCCGCCACCCGCTCCGCCCGTGCTTTGCGCCAGACCCTGTTGTCGCGACGCCACGTAAGTCATTAACTGCTAAATGCAAAACAACTACAAAAAATTGTAATAATGGATAAAAAGCAATTGAAAACTACAGAGATACGGGTTTTGTCAACGGGCCCAGTGGCTCAGCCCACTACAATAAACTCCAAACGTATTGTTTTACTTTTTATAAACTACCTGTTTTGTACATGTATGTTTATGCTCAGATAGTTAATAAAAACTACCTAGTATAATAAAAAGGCTAATAACAACGAGGGTTACAAGAGTAGGAGAAAAAGTAATTATTCTATTTCGTACCGAAACAGAAACCATATTACTAATAATATTACCACAGCAGCAATAATAGCTATGATACCCTTAAGTCCTATCGTGAACTCAGACCGCATCGGGAACGCATGGTCATTAGCAGGTGCACGTGGGGTTTTTGACATAGCAGACCATGCGTTACGAGTTTATTAACGAGACCATTACCAATCGTACATTCCTCTCACATATAAATGAGTACCTACGTTGTAATTGTACTAGTTTACTTCACTACTTGGTGTACAATAAAGATATAAGTATACTTATATATACTAGATAAACTTCTTAAAATAATAAACCCTCTAGTAAATAAAATGTTATTCTAGTTTTAAAGATGGTTATAGATATCAAATTACCACGCAATATCTGAATTGAAAAAGTTTTGCATAAAAGAAAACAGATAGTCGGTGGATGTTATTTGCCTAAAGTTTTGTATTTTATTTAAATTCGCCCTCATCACAAAGCATCCCTAGTCAAAACACCAAAAATATTTGTAAATGATTGCTAAACAAAAATGCTAGTTGGTTGACTATTTTGTATTGTTTCACTAGGCTATACGACATAGTAACATGCTGCAGCTAGAAAACAACAGCAACAATTCATAGCATCAATATTTAGTTTTAAAATAACCAAACATTGCACACAATCGCGTTCCCACCGCTCAGTAGTGCGTAGCTGCGCCGGCGCAGGTTACCCTTATTATTGAATAGGGCACACTCACAATACGGGGAATTTTGGATATTGTGCCGACCCCTTACTACCTGCTCCCCCCGCTACCTCGTACACCTCTGCTACCCTCGTTAGTTCGCGTCATTCCGGTCCCAACCCCCAACGATGCTCTTACGCACCGTTCCTTTAGTAGACCCTTTGCGTTATACAGACTTTTTAAATTGTTTGGCTTTACTTGATGCCTTATGATATTAGGGTAACTTTGTAGTGTAATTTATTACAGTGTAGTTAGTTAAGTGTAAATATAGTAATAGTGTAAATTGTGAATATGGATCTTTCAATAAATAGACTGAAGAGGGAGAGAGAAGAGGACACAGACGATGAGATTGAGTTGCAAGTAGAGTAAGTAGTTTTACTTAAATACATTTTGTATTCTAAAATTATATTAAAATTGGAAGACCAGAGTAAAAATTGTAAAAACAGAGATATCTTTTGCGATAACAACGTTGCAAATACAATACTTAACTGTCCTTTTGTTAGTGTGTACTACGATTCAAGCATTTTTTCCTAACGTTCTGGCTCCGTCACAAGTCGGAATATGTGCTCAGATCTTCAGATTCTTATACCAATACCAATTTTATGTTCATTTAGTATAATGAAATAATTTATTTGGTGCTCTAGTATAGTTAGCATCATATTAACCATTAGATTCACAACTGAGAAACTGCAGGTACATAAATATGTTACTCAGTTTGACGGTTGAATATGTATCCCTCTTATAACAGTACCTATTTACTGACGACACAATTGTTACACAAATATCCTTTCATTTTATTGTTCTCTAAATGTCTTTGTTTGTATACAGTAGCAATTCTGTTTTTTTGATAACCATTTTTAAACATATATTGCCATAACCAATGGGATATTAACAACATCTGAGGCAGCATACGAGTACTACGGAATATCTTAAAAACTACATATTAATCGAAATGCCCGTAAATAGTAATTATACTAGCACATAATTATAGTTTAAATGGTCACATTTACAGGTCAATTATTTTACAAGCTTTATACCTACAGTTGCGTTACTTACGATTTCTCAAATATGTATGTTAATTACTTTCTGCCGAACTCACTTTCAAGGTAAAAAGAGCATATAAATAAATTATTTCATTATGTATACTAAATGAACATAAAATTCTGCATTTTAAAACATAATAAGATCATGTGAAAGTTGCACTCTTTGAATTTAAATAACAATAAAGGTACAACACAATACACGAAGTAGTAACCCAGCTTCGTCCCAATTTCTAGAAATTCTTAATGGTTTTGGTATTAACTGTATTTAATGTAATGTAATTGTAATTAAATATAAGGTTTTATTTAAAACAAAACTTATCGTTTTAACTTGCAAACCATTCAATTATGGCAGATTTACTTTTACTAGTTAATAGTATCTATACTAATATTATAAAGCTGAAGAGTTTGTTTGTTTGTTTGTTTGTTTGAACGCGCTAATCTCAGGAACTACTGGTCCGATTTGAAAAATTCTTTCAGTGTTAGATAGCCCATTTATCGTGGAAGGCTATAGGCTATATATCATCACGCTAAGGCCAATAGGAGCGGAGCACCAATGAAGAATGTTTCAAAAACGGGGAAAATTTATTACTATTCAGAGACGCAGACGAAGTTGCGCGGGTCAGCTAGTAATAGATAAGAACGCACCGGCAGTTCGAAAAAAATTACAAACGGGACTTTTGCTTGGGTTTTTTGTGGCTAAATGTATTTTTGAATATAGTTCAAATAGGAGTAGGGGAAAATGTAAGCTGCTTGTGAGAGAATAATAAATTTGTTTTAATAAATTAAAGCTACAAAACTATAATTGGTAACTTTTAATTGGCCATAATAACAAAGTTGAATGTTCATTGTCAAATATTCTAACTTTAAGTGGAATATAATGTTAAAAATACGTCATTTGTTATAATATATTAGGGATGTGAATATTTTTTTTGTTTTTCAGTTCAATTTGAACTTTCTCATAGCTCTGGCAAACTTTGGCATAACTCTTTCATATTACTTAAGCTGCTAAAATTGTAATCCAAAACTATAATATAGATCCTGAAATACCTTTAGAGATATACCTTCTATCTATCAACATATTATACACTAACTTCTGATACAGTTTTGTGATTCTTGTATATAATAAATTAGTAAAATCCGAATATCTGTGTTGTATAATTTATAAACCTCACCAGAAAACCATTTTCTAGTAAAGTTTATAAATTATACAACACAAATATATGGACAGGTATGAAACCTGTATCTATTTTATCATACGTGTATCTTTATCAATATTTGATTGAGGCGCCTTTTATCTGTTTTATTCGAATTATACCTTACCTTCGTGAGGTTGTGTCTATGGTTTGAATTTTAATAAAGATATCGGCCATGTCCACAAATTAATAGGTCACCATGTGAAATAGGTTACAAATGTTACCTAATTAAACATCTTGTTACACTAAAGTGTACTGTTAATGTAGTCCCTTTGATATATGTATGTAAATATGTCAAATAGAATTTTGATCCGTGTTGCTAAACTATTCTGCAAATCAATTCAAATTGTAATTATAAAAATTAGAAAGTAAACATTGGATTAGGAAGTGATTACGGATATGGTAATTTTTTTTTTTTTTTTTTTTTTTTATTTATTTATTTGGTCAGCCAACGATTATTACACTAAACATTACAGAATTGACTTAAAGACTAAACATGTGTGAGTGCAATAATCACTTACAGGCTAACACCACATGCACTTAAAGTAACGGTTTTACAAGTTTAAAATAAATAGGAAATAGGTAAATTATTAATTTAACATGATTAAAAACAAGCATAACAACAAAACAACCATTAATTAATTAGCAATTAAATTAAATTAAATTAATTCCGTTTTTTTGTAAGGAAAGAAAATATTAAAATAACAATTCAGATGAAGTTCAATAAAATAATTTACAATTCATTCAAAGTGATTGTACTTGAGTTATTCCAGTGAGTACTACACCAATAATATTATGCATTAAAACATTTAAAAAATTTAAATTATGTAACAAGTTAGGATTAAATAAAATAAAATTAAAAATTGTAATAGTTGTATTGTGTGTCATATAAATAAATAAAAACATATAATAAAATAAATAGAAATTTCACAAATTCAACTTGAGACAAAAATCAAAATTAAAATCAAGATTATAATAAAAATTTGTTAATTCTGAATCAAACTCACACTATAACAAAAGAGTGCTATAACCAGATAAGGTTATTATTTGTTTTGATAAAGAATAACATTACAGCTCGGTCAACAATACAATGCAGTCATTCATTTTTTGTGTGAACTGGTTGATGATGCACTTATAAAACTTACTAATGCTATCATGGTGTAAATCAATCAAATCACTGCAGCCATTCAAAATTCTGCATAATCTGGGTATAAGTGAGTTAGTGCCTGACATTGTTCTCCTTAATGGTGGACACAGCGGTGTAATACTGTTTCGAGGATATCTAGACGGAGCCCTGAACCTTATAAGACTCAGTAAATCTGGACAATCGATTAGGTTTCTCACGATTTTAAATAAATATAATGCATCAAACACGTCTCTGCGCACCGACAGTGGGTGCATCCTAAAATACTGCAATCGGTTGCTATACGTGGTCAGATGTTTACCTTTGCCTGAAGATAATGTAAGGTATGACAGAAAGCGCTTTTGAACGCGCTCTATGCGTAACGTGTGCACGGCATAGTGGGGTCTCCACACAACACAACAGTATTCCAAGATACTCCTCACGAGACTATTGTATAACATAATTTTTGTGTTGCTTTTGAACTCTCTAGTATTCCTCATAACAAAGCCTAACATTTTAGACGCTCTTTTAACTATATTATCGATCTGAGGTACAAAAGTAACTTTACTATCGAAAAGAACGCCAAGATCTTTAATAGTTTTCACTTCCTGTATCTTTAGGTTATTAATAAAGTATTCTGACTTAAGGGGGTGAGCTCTCCTAGTGAATTTTAGGTGATAACATTTTTCAGTGTTTAGTTGCATTTTGTTATACCTACACCAATTAATGAGTCTGTTTAGATCGTCTTGCAGTAGTTCGGTATCACTAGGGCAATCAATTCTTCTGGCAAACTTTAAGTCATCGGCGTAGAGAAAACACTCAGAAAATTGAAAACAGTTAGGGATGTCGTTAATAGATAAGTTAAAAAGTATGGGAGCCAGATGTGAACCTTGAGGGGCTCCAGAAGTTATGCCACGACCTGTAGATTGAAAACCGTTTACAACAACAAAGAATTCTCTCCCCGTCAGGTACGATTTTATCCATTCGAGCAAGGGTCCTGTGATACCATAAGCTGACAGTTTATGTAACAGTATCTTATGCGAGATCTTGTCGAATGCCTTGCTAAAATCAGTATAAATGACGTCATACTGTTTATTTACATCCATAGCCTGCACCAGCGATTCCGTAAACGTTGATAGGTTAGTGGCTGTGGACCTTGACGCAACGAAACCATGCTGTCGATCACTAATGTACAGTCTCAGATGTCGCTGGATGGAAGGACATACCATAGCCTCAAAGATTTTAGCAAAGGTCGACAGAATAGAAATAGGCCTATAATTAGATATTGCCTCTCTTTTATTCGACTTATATACTGGCACTACTTTGGCTTTTTCCACTCTCGTGGGAACGTGCCTGTACACAGCGAAGTGTTATATATACGTAGAAGCGGGGAAGTCAGGGCAGATGCACAGGCAGATATGAAAATCGGTGGGATACCATCAGGACCCGGCCCTTTTCTAATATTAACAGTTTGCAGTTTCTTAAGTAAGCTGTCATAGACAAAAGTTGGGTAGGTTAAGGACAGGCTGTTACTATTCAAAGAGCTCAAAAATTCAGATTCGCAATTAAACTCTTCGTCGTCGTCTTGAGTATAAACAGATGAAAAATAATTCGCAAAAAGATCACAGATGGTTGGACCATCGGATGTTGTACTCTTTCCATCGGTCATAGACAACGGGTATACACTGGATCCTCCACGTTTTGCTTTTACGTGCGTCCAAAAGAGCTTAGGATTATCCTTGATTTTGCCTTCCATATCTTTCATATAACTGGAATACAGAGTTTTAGCAAGGATTTGACATCTCGTAGTAATTAGCTTTAGTTCTATTCCATCTCTAGGGTTTTTATATTTCTTGAAGCGTACTCTAATTCTATTTTTTTCCTTAAGAGCTCTGATAATGTTCTTATTAAACCATGGGGGAAAAGGGCTGTTTAATGGTTTACAGAATGACACATATTCATAAATGGCCGTATTTAAAGTTTTGTAAAAAATCTTTAACATGTCATTCACATCTCTTTCTGGAGCGAGTAGTTGATACCAGTTTTGATTATTTAAGTAATTGTTAATTTTCTCATAGTCCGCTTTAAAGAAGTTCGGTCTCTTACTTAATTTATTATAAGAGAGATAATTTTGTTTTGACAAAAATATAGTTACATCTAAAGGGGGATGTAGTTTGTCGACAACAGTGAAGGGGGAGTTAGATTCATCCACTGAACAAGAATGTACTGTCGACAGAACTAGGTCCAAAATACGTCCCGAACAATTTTTTATTTTATTGTATTGGATAAGTTTATTCGTGTTTGCAAAATCTAATAATCGCTCGCACGCATTCGGCAGGGAAACGTTATTGGCACCTATCTGCCAGTCTATCTTAGCCAAATTAAAATCCCCGATTATACAAACAGGCATGGTTGTGGTATCAAATACATTATTACAATGCTCAATAAAATGGTCAAGTCTTGATACACATAGTGGTGGTGGCAGGTAAACTGCACAAAGAGCCATTTGACGTAAAGTATTATTGGAAAGATCGATTGTGACCCAAAGATCTTCACAACTACTTTGCCACATATCCATACGACGAGAGTTAATTTTTTTTGAAACAGCAATAAGCACTCCGCCTCCGTTTTTTTTACTTTCGAACCCTGTAGTTTCCCGGTCTCTTCGATACACAACATATCTCTCGTCAAATAGCTCCTCGTTAAGTATACCACTGTTTAACCAAGTTTCTGTCAAGATAATCACATCATAGTTCGCACAACATAAGCCACAATAAAAGTCATTGGTTTTAGTTCGAAGACCTCTACAATTTTGATAATATAATTTTAAGTTAATGAATTTTAGTAATAATAATTCATAATCATGCATAATATATTAAGATATTAAATATATTAAAAATTAGATAATTTTGTTCAGACTATTATTGTTCCTAATTAATATATAATCCGAACCTTCAGTTTTTCTGACAAATATTCTGCCATTTCTGACCCACACATACTTGTAGTTCTTTTGTTTTGCCTTAATCCTTGTGGCTGCGTGGAGGGCCTTGTTACTCGGTGAGAGGTGTTCAACCACGTATATTGGAGTCCTGCGCCCACTGATTCCCAGGTGTTCGCAATTGAGTTTATTATGGGGGTTATCTCTGTTATATTTCATGGTTGATGCTAAAAGTTGATCCCTTAACTTTGGTGATGCGAGTTGGATAATTATAGACCTTGGGCGGGTACTGGACGGGTTCACCTTAGCAATCCGAGTGCAATGCAGTATTTCTTTTTCTTTAATTTCGCAGCTTACTACTTGTCCAAGATCGTTAATAATGTTGTAGATATTTTCGTTTTTATTTTCAGGCATGTTTTGTATTTCTATATTATTCGATCTAGATTGCTGTTCTAGTTGATTAAGGCGCGCAAGTAAGTCTCCAACCGTGTTTTTCAACTCTTTATTTTCAGATTCAAGGTTTTTGATGACTTCAACAGTAAATTGTTGACTTTTCTCGAAGGCTTCAAATCTGTCATTCATGAATGACATTGATGCCACTACTTCTTGAATTTCTTTTCTAATAGGTTCCATTTCTTGATTTATTGTGCTGACTACTGTTTTGTTGAATTGTGTCAAAATTAGATTGAATTCTGTTTTTATTATATCTCGGATCATAGTCCGTATCTCATCCTTGTTACTTGCTATTGGTGGCGGCGATGGTGAGCCAATAGCGACTCTTTTGTTGCCTCTGTTCATCTGCACGTTACGTATAGGAGTTGAGTCCTTCCTATTAACTTTAGGAGCGCAACTTAAACATGTGGGACATTTCCAAGATTTGTTTGGAGATTCCGTGACAGATAAACATGCGTAGTGATAAGATTTCCCGCAACTGGTGCATTTAATGAATTTTTCATCTACCAAATTTTCATCAGTTTCATTATCCTTCGCGCAACAACCCCATTCAACATATTTCGTGGCCATAATGGGAAAATTCAAAAATCAACAACCCAAACAAAAATCTGCCTCATAGAGGAAATAAGCGTAGGTATAATATGTTGCGCTGTCTGCGTTACTTAATCACCGCTACGAGTGATAGTGTATGCCACAGAGCGTGAGCGCATGCAGTAATGGTTCTTATGCGCACCGCTTAACCGTGCGGGTTGTGTGTACAGCACGTAAAAACTGATTGTCAAAACACTCACCGGTAAATCAGTTGAGATTTAAAACTTAACGGTTTACACTAAAAATTTGCTGCTATAATACACTTTTCTTTATTTTAATTATGTATTTCACTTCCTCACATGGTAGTTGTCACTTTATACTAGTATTTGTTGCTGTATTTGTTCATTTGTAGCTAAGAATGATAAATTTAACTATGAGTAAGTTCACACACTATGTTAACCGTTGGACCGCTGGGGCAAAGATGATAAGGCTATATTTACTAAATACTCTTCTAATGTATTCTCTTTACTAATATATAGGTCTCTAGTAAATCACCTAAGTAATCAAATTAACACTAATTAGTTATTAGTATTTTATCAATTTATAATTTCTTTTACACAGTAGAACGGGCATGGCAATTTAAGAAATTAACAAATTTACCAGTCGCTTTATACTCATATCACCATTATAAAGGTTCAAGATGTTTTTTAAATGGCTGACCTCTAGGTCTAGTGGTTAGTGACCCTAAATAATGTTTACCAGCATTCTGGTTGCCATAGTACAAGCTCTGCGAAATTTGTAATCAGACGTCTGTGCGTGATATGTGTCAAGTTATTATAGTTATGGTATAGTTAACTTTGAACTTATAAAGAACTACGTAACTGAACTAGTTTAGATATGTTAGTATGTATATCTAATGACATTTTGTAGTCATCCTGTAATCTTAAGCTTTATACGAGTATGTTAGTATTTTACAATCAGTCAATACCGGTAGGAGTTATTACCGGTGTATGCGTATTTAAATGCGTTGCTCTAGTTTTTTTTATTTGAAATCATACACATGTTTTGCATATATGTTAATGGCAATGGTTTAATGTCTTTCTAATTAACAACAGTTATATTTTTCTGTGTTAACGTTGTCATCAACAGTCAAGGCTTAGAAAACCAGACCTCATCTTACTTATACCATAGCAGTTAAGTAAATTAATAAGAAGAAGAAACACTCTAGTCCGAATCTGTAAATTAGTTATAGAAAACTCACAGAAGTGTTTGTTTTTAGTGGCAGAGATAGCATCGAACAGCGTCGCGTCGTTGAAGTGGTCCGCAGAGGGGGCGAAAGCGCGGGGGGCGCGCGGCACAAGACGGCTCCGCAGGCCGCAACGACGACGGCACACAGCAAGCAGTTGGCGGCGGGCGGGGCCAACCACCCGCCCCAGCCGCAAGGTAACCACAAACGTAATGTCTTTGTTGTTACCTCCCTTTTCACCTGTTCACACGCACACTAACACTCACACACTATTACATTACATATCTAGCTTTATTAATTAATTATATAATTCTAGAAATGCTACTAAAAGCAAAGTATAATCCGTCCAGAAAAAATGAAGGTACACTTTGTAAACGCTACTAGACTACTTATCTAGTATCCGTACTAATGGAATTTGTCCATATCCTTTGATACTTTACCCAAAGTAGCATCGCAAAAACACATAAGTTTAGGATACACAAACAAATTACACATTAAACCCGTTTAAACTAATTTATAAATCACTTCAAACACACTAACCAAAGATAGGCACTAATTGTTTTGTTATATGTTTCGCTATAATTCGTTATGAATATCACATCGATATAAAATTGATGTGTTATTGTTTATGTGTTATGTAAGTTTTTTTGGTAAAGGCCTTATAGCTGGGAATTACCCGATACGGATGTAGTTGATATTTAAATAAATATTTTATTTTATAAAATAATGTCCCAACTTTCTGATTGTTGTTGCCTTAATTTTAAAAAACCTTGGTATTCGATTTCCTTCACGTCAATGGTAGAATCTACATTGTCGGGGCGTTATTAACAATTTATCATCAATTATCTAACAGCTAGATTTAAATTACTTGGTGGAAACTATGTGGCAGTGATTAAAAAGGAATTTGAACTACCTGAACTAATATTCTACTGGATATGTTTTAGCTTGTAATGAATATTCATACCCAGATTCAAAATGCACTGACCTCATATGCGCCTGCCTATTCTGCCTATGATTCTACCTATTCTATTTCTGTTATCAAGTAATGAGTATACGGCATTAGAGTCAAAAGGCTCTTATATCAATATTTTTTGTATCAAACCTGCCACTTCCCATATAATAATATCTTCCCTCCCATATGTATGTAATACCAGGAAGAATCTTTATAAGAAAAAACTTTAACGGGTAGTGCTATTTCTGTAATGTTTTGTTTCAGAATTGTATGTTATGAAAATATATCTTTACTATAAAATTTTGCACCATTACTTTGAAAGTTCCGCTTTACGGCGCTCCTTACCCTATAAATTTGACACTTGTAGAGAAAGAAAGCAAAATATTCCGCCTAAAGTAATCTTGATATTGGATAATATATTATCCTCCAAGTATACTTACTATATACAATGAGTGCGTATTTTTATTATCATTGGTATTTTGTATAAAAACCCAACCAATCTATCAAAAGGTGTAACAATTTAAAGCTCACCAAGTCCGATGACATCTACCTGCAGTTTGTTGGAATTTTATGCACTTTCCTTTTCACTATGCACTAGTTAGTGTTTATTTACTTCTATTTACACGTTAGAATGTGCTCACTTGTATTGAATAGTCACAATCGTTATTTTCTACATAACTACGGCGAAGTGCAAATAACTTTTGTCTAACGAAATGAAGATTTTACGGAAACTGGACTCAACTTATTTGAGATATTACAAAGAAAGTGACTTCACATATTTGTTAATTTTTTTTAAATAATTTATTCGTTTTTTAATTGTTTTGCTGTATGAATGCATTTTATATTGTATAATGAAAAATTAACACTTAATTTCAAATTTATATTTAATGTTTTTGCAACTAATAATAGACCTAGAAGATTTCACTAAAACATACGAATAGTGCCTTTAAATGCAAAAGTCCAATAAGTGAATTTCTCTTAAAATGTCAGTCACGAGGTAATTTGACTTCACCGTCGTATAAACTGTTTTTACTTAAAACTTGAGCATTCTGAAGTGTAAGTTTTTTTTTATTAATGTGATTCCTTAGGACAAGAATTGCTTTTAGAATCCTCAATATCTCTTTGGACTTCTAAAAGGATGCAATAACACTAATAGCTAGAATTAAACAACACATTCATACAAATCTTTTGACTTTGTATATTAACTTTAGATTACTAAAGTCTAACATATATTGGCCTGTAATAATATTACAGGCCAATATATGTTAGACTTTATTAGTGTCACTATAGCTTTGAGAAATAAGTTTTCACAGTGGTTATATACTAACACTAGTTTCCAATAAAGAACACTTGTGCAGCAATTGTCGCCCTATACATTTTAATGAGACTATTTCTACGGAGACTTGTCCGCTGAAGGCCAGTATGAATAAATCACAATTATATTTTTTGTATAACATCGTACCCTAAAGTCATACTATTTGCCAATGTAATAAATATATTTTACATTTAATCAATACCTAGATATACAGTACATAACTCTCAAATAGATTGCGCACACTGACACATATTTGGCAAATCACATAACACTGACGAACGCTCTATGTTTTTTCTTTCTCAGATCAACATGGAAACAAAAAAAATGATAATAGTAGAAGACCGACCGCTCGAACAAAACGTGAGATACCGTTACCTCATTTATAGTAACTTTTAGAAGTCCAAAGAAATAATAGTAAACTAAGATAAACATTCCGGTTGAAGTAATTGTGGATATACAGTGATTGAACAAAAATGACGGGATACGTTTAAAATTATGTCGTGGTTGTTCTATATGTTCTAAATATTTTAGAATTAATATTATTAACAAAGTACGAGTTTGAAACTAGAACGCAACCACAATTTACACGTGTTTGGCAGATAAAACACACATTACTTGATGTAAGTGGCCAATAGGAGTCCTATTAAGGAACTCCTTGTTTTACTGATCACTCTTCAAAGTCTGTATGTGCCTTGGCTCCAGTAAACTTAATAAAGTTATCATGAGACAGGAATCATGCCCAAAATGCGTCAGTTATCATTTCAAAATGAAACAAGCATTGTCTAAAACACGGAACCAGTACTTATGTATTTATGAATTTGACTAATACTTTATACTGGTTTTGGTATCAAATGTTAATCAAGTATTGTTGATACATTATCACGAAATATCCAGTGGATTTGATACTCACAAAGTCCACATTTACTTCCGCCGGCCACACATTAACACACTTAAAATATAACTAATTTGTATATTTAATTGATGTGTGTAGCTAATATGTCGTTATCGAATATCTGTACATGCGGATGCTGCGACCGCCATGGTGGTTGCGACTCGACAATTGCGACTGACGACTATGGTACAACAGGCTCCGGCTGCGGTGGCGATGGCGACTACCAGCTGGTGCAACATGAGGTGCTCTACTCCTCGTCCAATCGGTAAGTAAAAATGTTTATACACAACTATTAAAAAAGGTGTTTGGTTATGCCTCTATAAAACTCCTAATTTTAAGTAAGTTTAGATGGATGCTGAAACGTTATTATACACTGACCGAAAATTTTATATCAAAAGTTCTCTTTTGGTCTTATAACGATGTTTGACCTTCAATAAGACTAACATAAAATTTAAAAAGGTAACGTGCTTCAACTCTGATCTGCTTATGCATTCACATGCAAGAGTTGTAATCCTTGCTCTCGTTTTTATTTATTTTTAACATTAATTAATAAACATAAGCCATATTTCTTGTCACGAACAACCCACAATCGTGCTATCGTCGTGATTGTTACTATTGAATTTAATATTAGTAATGGTTATTTGCAAAGAGTAGTTCCCCAAATACACATAATATAAATTATCAAATTCTTTTACCTCTTTGGAGCCATATTTATTTTAATCACATCTGATAATAAACATCTAGCGACAGAACAAGTCGTTATAAATGGCCAATCCTCTATATAGATATAATTGTCGGTAAATGTTTGTCGTTGTCGTTGTCGCTATAACCGAACGATATATTCAATTCAGCTAAAAGAATTAATGTTTGGGATGTATACGCTGTATACGCCTGCCCGCATGTATACGTATACGCCTGCCCGCATGTAAACGCTGTATACGCCTGCCCGCATGTATACGCCAGTGAGCCAGACAGATTAAAACAGATCGGCTTTCTAACTCAAACTCAAAATATCTGTATTTCATAAATTAAAATTACTTAAAATCGTCTTTTATGTAGATTCTTAGTCAATAATCAACACATACAATAGCAACAATCTCTGTTTTGTCAAATATTTACGTATCGAAAATCATTATATGGCTGTGCCGGCAACCGCTCGTTTCCAAGGAGTTGAGCGTTATGAGAAGAAAAGGCTAACAAACTCACTGCCACTCTTTTTTAATTTAACAGAAAGATACAATGGCATCATTAAATATACCACAACATTGTTTCAATGTGTACGAGTATGTCAATTAACAGTACACACAATATACATTATGTAAAAATACATCCTGTTGGTTAAAAAAGACTTTCGACCAGCCGCAATGAACCGAGTCTTTCGATAATGGTCGAATCTGTACGACTTATGTCCGTCGGATTTTGCCTATAAATAGGTGTCAGGCAGCATAGGTGCCTTCCTATTGTCTAGTAGTTAGTAGTAGCAGCTAGTTAAGTCCTAGGTAGCCGTTCAACAAATACTCTGCGACACCGAATGACTCGTCGGTCCGAATGAACTTTCACCTCTTAGCACAAGCCTCGTAAAGACAATCATGTGTAGTAAATACTGCTCAATCGATTATATTATGTATGTAGCAATGCTAAGCTGCCTCTCTCGTCTTTGTCGTGAAACAGCGTACTTTCACCGCAAACCATATGATTTCAAAGAAAACTACCTTTTAATAGAGGTATTATTATTGTAAGCGCCATCACAATTTTATTAGGAACAAAATAGAAAATACTTGATGGTAAGCTTCTAAAATAGTTCTCTTGTTTTTAGTTTCACATTTAACATAAACTATCTAAAGGCCTTTGTTTGAATGATATTTTTGAAATAACAATTTATGTTATGGAAATAATTTTACTATGCCAGGTACGAGGTGTTGGAGTTCCTCGGGCGAGGTACATTCGGGCAGGTGGTGAAGTGTTGGAAGAAGGGCACCAATGAGATAGTTGCCATCAAGATCCTCAAGAACCATCCCAGCTATGCTCGTCAAGGACAGATTGAGGTTAGTTGTACAATACATGCAGTTTCGTGTACTATAGACAAAGGTGCAAGTCACAAACAATGGAGTTCATTGTCTCTTTTTGGTATTTATCTATACTCCATTCAACGCACTAAAGATAAATAGCTAAAGGAGACTTATAAAAGAATAGATATGTTTCTTAAGTACATTATTAACATTTTGAGAACCAGATGTCTTCTAGGTTTATAAAGGTTTCTATTGTTTTGATTATCTTCTGATAACGCCGGACAACATATTGTTAAAGGGTTAATGAGTTCTTCTAACTTGTTTCATTTTTACCGATGTTTTTTTTTATGATTCTTAAAACTTAGCACCAGAGCCGTAAATTTTTTAATTAGTCACAGATAGATAAAATAAACCAAAAAATATAAAATACTTTCCTTAGAAATTCAACAATCCTGACTTAATACCACGTGCTTAACAAAGCAATTGTAGACTAAAAATAATATTTTAAAAAGCAAGGCAATTTTTTTTTTAATATAATGTCGACTACTAGATAAAGAAGTCACTTTTATGTCATTACTATTTAAACTTGAGAAATACAAAGATAGAGCGTATACTATATTAACACACATCAATATGATAGCTGTTCAACAACAAAATGTCACGACGGCGTTCACACTCTTTGAATGGCAGCCAAGTTTACTATTAATAGTATTTTTGGCGCTATTCTTGGTAAACTATTTCTTACTAGAATTATAATCTAGCAGGTTAAGTTATTATACTATTGAATTACATACCGACTTAGATGTTATGCATATGAAATTTTCTGCTTGGGCCTTGTGCTTTTAGATCAAATAAACTTCATAAAAAAAGAAATCGTCAGACCTCTTATCTTAGTTAAAAAAATATATATATTTAGATACTATAGTATTTGCTTAGTGACTAAGGGTTGTTAATATAAAAAAAACTAAAGCATTCTGCAACAAAATATTGTTACCTATTTATATACGTAATCGCTCGCACCGTAACTAATATGAATTTAATAACATTTTGCCCGACGCGAAACTTAGTCCATGCTGGTATTTAATTTAATCATCAGCAATCACACTCACAGAACAAAAACTAAAGAGAGAATTGTTATTGTTTAACTGCAATACAAGTTTGATGTTTGGAGCGCACATATCTCTGTAATTAGAAATCATATAATTATCTATGTATCTAAGCAAAACACTACGCCAATCTTTTATAAAGACCAAGCTGGCACAAGGATTCTCCAATTCATTACAACGTTGGACATTGACATTGGCAACCATCCAGTGGTTGGTTGTTTCTGTTTGCACACCAGAGTGCCTGCCTAGGCAGACGAGTATTCCAACCAAAATATCTGTGTATAAATCTTGTTATGACCATATTTAAAATATTCGTTAGTATCTAGCACTGTTGACTCATAGGGACATTAGAATGATTCTCACTTTAATTCAAAGGTTATCGCAACCTTTTTGAACGGACAAAATGTGATAAAACATTTTTTGCATGAATTTATTCTTGATGTATTTGCTTTTTGGCATTATTTTTACTTTATACTAGTAGGTAAGTTTTGAATAGTATTTTTAGTAAAGCTTACTAAAATGACTTCGAAATTTTATATCTTACCCGGTTTTTAATTAGTAGCGATTGCGATGATGTAATAGTTAACAGTGTTTATTTGAGCAGTACCTAAGTCATAATCAATTTCCAATACGCAAATAGCTTATGCTTTGATAACTTTGTAAACTTTTATTTAAGTCTTTAAAGTCAACTGGCTTCCTTGCATTGTGAACAATGTTTGTGCATTATATATGACTAGCAATCCGCCCCGGCTTCGCACGGGTGCAATGTAGATACTACTAATGTAGTGTCAGTGTGGAGTAATTATTTATACTATTATTATGACATTACTATACTACAGGACATCTTTAAATGCAATATTTATAGGCGCGCTCCGATCCTAAAGGCCGCTGCCACCCGGGACGGTCGTACGGCTCGACGGTCGTGGGCCCCAGCATTTGAAACCTCCTAATATCTTCTAAAATATTCATTTTAAAGATATGCTGTACAGAGCAATTTTAATCCAAATTAAATGCACACCGTATCTAACGTATTTAATTGGATAAGGAATAATAATGTATAGTTTAAAATAGCTTTGTAAGTAACCCATTATTTTTTTGTAATATTTATGAGATAAAAGTAGTTACTCTGGGTTATCCTCAGGAGATAGACATACCATCGCGGACTTTTTTGTGAATCTTTTTAAGATATACACTTCCGTAGTACATTATTTCGGTCTCCTCATAAGGTTTTGCTATTTAAGCGCACAAAACATGTTTTTCCCAAAAAAAATTGAAATTTTCGGATTTTCTCTACTATAATATGCATATATTATACATATAAACCTTCCTCTTGAAACACTTTCTCTATCGGTGAAAACCGCAATAAAATTCTTTGCTTAGTTTGAAAGATCTAAGTGTACAACACAAAAAAGCGACTTTATTTTATACTATGTAAAGACTTAGGGTCTGATTCCATCACGTTGCAATTATTTACTTATAACTAGTTCTTTAACGCTTTCTGACTAGTAACCAACTCACATATAATTAACACCGAACATAACTCATATTACCGTGGCTAAGCTATATACCTCACTAAATGTGCTTAGTTCTTAAAACAGGTATAAGGGATATCTGTTTTAAGTATTATAAATTATAATTGATCCAATTTTTATAAATCGCTACCCAACTTGAGATTTCCAAAATATTTATTTATTTTCATATTACTCGTGTTAGTCTGTTCGTTAAAGATGACACAAATTGCATATATTAAATTACAATTACATCTGACAAACATATATTAAATTACAATAAGCAACTTTACGTAGGGAAATGTCGACAATACTGAATTATTTATTTGTTTATTATGGTATAATTAAGATTTTTATGGACTACAATATACTTTTGTTAAATGAATTATGGTTATTTTACGTATAACGCTATATATGGCTGTATTGTCACCTATATAATATTATTAAAAAACAAACTTGTTTATCTTAAATATTTGAATCGCAACTGACCTCCCTTTGAGTTTACATATTATGTATATGTAATCTCTAAAACAGCTTTGAAACCGTTAATTTTGTAACAGGTGTCAATACTCTCCCGCCTCTCGCAAGAGTCGGCGGACGAGTTCAACTTCGTCCGTGCCTACGAGTGCTTCCAGCACCGGTCACATACGTGTCTGGTGTTTGAGATGCTGGAACAGAACCTGTACGACTTCCTAAAGCAGAACAAGTTCTCACCACTGCCTCTCAAATACATCAGGCCAATACTACAACAAGTGCTAACGGCGCTGCTTAAACTCAAGGTAAGTTAAATATGAATAGGGAATATTAGACTACTAACATTGAATTACATAAAACCTGCTTACGTCTGCTATAGATATTTTCTATAGTCATAATTCTTTTGATTAATAATATATTGCATGAAATTTCCAGCAACTGGGTCTGATCCACGCTGACCTGAAGCCAGAGAACATCATGTTGGTAGAGCCAGCTAGGCAGCCGTATCGTGTCAAGGTCATCGACTTCGGCAGTGCGTCTCACGTTAGCAAGGCTGTTTGTAACACCTACTTACAAAGCAGATACTATAGGTACTTACTTGTGTTATACTCAATTATTCATAGGATAAATATTCTGTCTGCATTACTTGTCTTTCTGAAATTTACCTACATTTTAACGCAAACATTTCATATTTATGATTCTGTCTTTCACTGCTATCGTTTGAGTTTTACTTACCCTTATGTGCCTAGAAATTCGTTATAATTATCATCATAATAAGTTTGAATTATCTGAGCAAGTGATTAGACAACTCAAAAAATATGAAAAGTTGTCAAAATTTGGTCTTCAATTATTATGAATAGCACTAAAACGAGCAGGATAAATAACTTGGTTATTCCTCTTTCAGAGCACCGGAGATAATCCTGGGGCTAGCATTCTGCGAGGCGATCGACATGTGGTCATTAGGGTGCGTGGTGGCTGAACTGTTCTTAGGCTGGCCTTTATATCCGGGCTCCTCGGAATATGATCAAATACGATACATCTCGCAGACGCAGGGACTTCCCACGGAGCATATGCTTAACAGGTTGGTCTCTTACAAAGCCTTAAAATAAACCCCTTATTTCTGACAATCTTTCAAATTATTAAAAAACCAACACTTTTGTTATAGCGCAAGTAAAACGGCAAAGTTCTTCTACCGCGACGTGGACAGTACATACCCGTTCTGGAGGCTCAAGACGCCCGAGGAGCACGAGATAGAGACTGGCATCAAGAGTAAAGAGGCGAGGAAGTACATCTTTAACTGTCTTGACGACATTGGACAGGTATGCATAAATTATATCTCAATAACACGTGTGACAGGACCAGAGTTCATACTGTTACTGAGATTTATAAACACAATTAATCCAGCGGTACCTTTTCTCACATTGGAAGTGAACCAAAATTACATACAAATAATAATATAAACATTGCTACTTTTGAAAAATTGTATGACCTTAGAAACATTAAGAGCGAATTTTTTTTTTTTTTTTTAACGGCTTCAACGTATTTGGATGTGGAACTGTGTATTGTGTATCTGTGTATGTACTTGAGTGGTTCCTGATAGATTTTTTTTTTTTTTTTTAAACGTCTCAAATAATAAATAACTAATATTTAAGTAAATATGTTAAGCCACTCTAGTCATCATCAGCTCTTTTCTAGTAGTTTTGCGCGTTTTTAAATGTTTAATTTACACTTGTTTACATTATGGCATGGTACGTATTATTTTATTTTAAAAGTTTTTGGCATATAAAAATAATTATGATGACAGTATGTTTGATGATGTAAGATCAAAAATATAAGCATTGCAACGTAAACTTTGCCAACTGCTACTGATGCAAAGGAATATTAGAATTTAATTATTGTTTTTTTTTCTTACAGGTCAATGTACCAACAGATCTTGAAGGCGGTCAACTGTTGGCTGAGAAAGCTGATAGGAGGGAGTTCATCGATTTATTGAAAAGGATGCTTACAATGGACCAAGTAATTATATGCTCTTTATTATATCTCTTTATATGTATACTCAAATTGTACCTATTGGAGTTGATATTTTTTTAAAGTTTAGTACTATGTGATTGTAACTTTGAATACCAATTATACCTTTATACATAAATGAAATTATTACAGGAAAGAAGGATAACACCCGGCGAAGCGTTGAATCACGCGTTCGTCACACTCGCCCACCTCGTCGACTACGCGCATTGTAACAATGTCAAAGCCTCCGTCCAAATGATGGAGGTATGTACTTATATACTATTATGCACTATTTATCACTTACAGTACGTCATAATTTCATTTGAAGTAAACAGACGACCTTAACATTAAAAATGTAGCTACGACGAGGGTTGCTTATCTTTGTCGAGATGTTGTAATTATATTGCTGTCAAAACCTTATTTTCTCCAAAAGGTGAAGAGAAAAATTTAATGCATAAGACAAGTCACTCAGTTTATTGCGGTCTAGTGAGTTTTGGTTGAGCAACGTCGAAAACGATATATCGTATTGTTTGTTGTCAATTTCATAATAATCTAGTCAAAATTAAATATTAAGTAAACGTCGACGAGTAGATGCAACATGAAGACTATAATAATAATCTTTTGCAGTTTAAACTGATAGTCTAATTTATTACTACGTTCGTGTCAGGTTTGCCGTCGCTCGGGCTCCGGCGTGGGCGGCGTGGGCGGCGTGGGCGGGGTGGGCGGCGTGGGCTCCGGCAGCGAGTACGTGGGCAGCGTGGTGGGGCCCGCCGCCGCGCCCGCGCACCACCTGGCGCTCACCATCAACCAGCAGCGCCTGCGCGCCGCGCCCTACGACAACATCGTACGTGCCTTTAACGTGTCGACCTAACTCTATAAGGGTTTCAATCTAATCTCTCATTCACGAAAATACAACTGTTTCGGGATTAAAAAATGACATCATTTTTGCAGTATCAGCTGTACCAGGGAGGACGCGTGGCAGTGGGCGGCGCGAGGCAGTACGCCACTCGAGCCGCCGAGCCCTTCCCGCACCAATTCGTCTCGTCTATACTGTGCCAGCCTAGCCACTATCAGGTCAGACACTAGCCTCTTGTATACTATCATATTGTTTCATTTTTTCTGGTTAAAGCTATCTTTCTCCGTATTGTATTATATAATAACTGTTATTTGGATTTTTTATAATTGTGGGAAACAAATAGTGCCTTAAGAAAAAAAACATAAATTTTTACTATTTAAAATTTATTCACTAAATATAGAAATAACACTGAATAAATGCATTTGATAGATCATATCATTAAGAATTTAACTCTATCTCTCTCATTTAGTTAATGTAATTATTTTGTTGAGACCTATAATTACTTACCGTAACGATTACTAGTCAATACGTACTTTCGATAACTATCTTTTTATAGAAGACAATGGATATTTGTCATAGGAGGTGGATCATAATTATTAAAATTACAGTTTAGTTTTAGTAATAAATGTTTTATAGGAGTAACGTAAAAAAAAACGAAAATTAATTCATATGGCAGAATTGTAATAATTTTTATCCCATAATTTTCTCAAACAAAAATCTGTCAGTGGTAGCGAGGAAACGTACCAAACAAATTCGTAGTAAATTAAAGCTGTAGGTATCGAATCAGGTGCAGCAACTGGCGGCTGCGGCCGCAGCGGCGGCGGCGGCGCACCACCAGCACGGCGTGGCCGGGGTGGGCGGCGTGGCGGGCGTGGCCGGCGTGGCCGACGTGGGCGGCGTGGGCGAGTGGCGCGCGCCTCTCATCGTCGAGCCCGCGCCGCTACCCGAGCCCGACGTGTGGGACACCTTTCATCCGCACCACCCGCAGCACCATCACCCGCATAAGAGGTGTGTACGCCTTCTGTGCGGCACAGAATCTTACATGACATTTTTTATTCTCTTTCCTTCGGTTTTCCTACAATCTGAGATTGCGTGAAAATGGAAATGTGTAACAGGAGACCGGGCCGAAGTCAACCTCGCGATGAATCACTTGTAGATTCGAATTCTACCACAGAATTGGGCCTATCGGCATCCTGACCTCGGTCTTAAGCTCGGTTAATCTCTGCACCGATCACAATACCATTATTTCTGGAGATAAAACTAAAATATAATTTATAACCTCAGCTTTTTCCATTGTAAATCTTTTATTGCAAAATAAAATGTATTAATAAGTTTGAAGGTATTTCAACACATATAATCATTCCATTCATTAACATTAAATATATATAATATAGTAGCAAAACTGTATTAATGTGGTTTATCGACAGGTCCACTAAGCAACAGACGAGCGTGGTACCTCACTATCAGCCACATCACCCAAGTCTTCAATACAGGTACTGACGGTCAACTTACTAAATTATACAACTTTCGTTGTTGAACTATTACCTCTTAGTCTGAAAAATTTAACAAAGTAACCATTTAATCATTAAACATTTGTTTAGTCTTAGTCTTATTTACAGTCTAAAGTATAATAATAATAAAAATAATAAATATTTCGAAGACAACTTACGATTCTATTCTACGATCTAATTTCTTCTATTCTATAACAATAAATCCAGAAGTAATGTGCTGAAAAATAAATATTTTTTCCATATAACTATATATAACCTATTGGTCAAGTGAAATTCAAAACAATTTCCCAAAATTTCATAATACCATTCGTTTTTAGTACAAGACACGATCCTAATATTTGAATTACCATTACAGCATGGCAAGCAGCAGCGGTAAGAAAGAACCGACTCAACTATCGCCGGTGAAGAAACGAGTGAAGGAGGGCACGCCGCCCTCAAGGCATAGACATCATCATCACGACCACACGTTAGTACATATTACAATACATATAACAATTTTATGAATTATTTCACCCATTCCATAATCTGATAATAAAATATATTAAAATTTCTATGTATATTGTGTATATAAGTATCCCTTGCATAGTATTATTATCAGTTTAGGATTTTAGTTACAGGACGTCTACTATTAGCATAGGCTTCCTTCAATGACTGCTAAAGGAAACTCCAATAGGGAATATGCATGTATTTTTTTTATTTTTTTAAACGATTCTACTAGTTATTACATTACCAAAAATAAATATAACACATCCGAAATATAAACCGTTAAGCAAAAAAAAATTTATTAAGATCACTATCATTTTGGGGCAATTTGAACACGTCCATTTTGGCGCGCTTTTTTTGTGACATCAGATTACACTTTCAGACGAATTCGATGTCAACAACGGAGTGAAGTTCACAAAGTTTGTGAAAGTTAAAAAGTGAGTAATAAAAATTGACTTATTACCATGGAAAAGCCAATAAAAACTTATTATAAATATTGTGCCGTTCCTTTGTGCCCAAATAATATCAAAACTGCACCTGACAAAGTATATTCAGTCATTGTGTTGAGTCTTTCTACGTGGGAATTTAATAATTTAACACTGAAAACGTATTAGTTATTAATTTAAAATGAAACAAATAATCACCAGAAACCAAATATTACAAATACACACAACTTCTTGACACTCTCGACAGTGTAGGTTGACGTCACATTTTATTCAACCAATAGCGTTGCGTTTTAGAAATTTGCGAGGGAATCTTAAAAAAGCCAATTTTTGATGATTAAATTTCACTATTAAATTATAATAAATTTCAAAAATAATTGTATGGGTATCTTTTTTTAGCAATAAAAATTACAAATAAAAATATTTTGTCCATTTTGGTGTCACGTGCATATTCCCTATTTATATATTTATTTATTATTTATTTCTTTTTTGAGATGCAACGTTTTCCTCTCTTTCGCTTCCTGTTTAATAGGTTGTCTATTATTATTTCATTTTGTCCCCCGATTTACTAAGGAGGGAAGTGGATTTATTATAACTCCTCGAATTTACTTGTGTACATTCATTGCGGGTCCAAGACAATCTAACTTTTCTGGTGTATAGGAGTTAAAGTAGTGGGTGTAGGTCGACGATTCAATGCATCGTTATATTGCGCCATGTTCTGTATAATGTAACTTCCTCACTATAAGTTTTCCTCCACTTATGTAATAATCGTTATCCTATTTAACCCGTCATAGTTTTTATTTAACACGTTTATGTACACATACTATTTGCATACTATTTATTGATACCACCCAAGCATATTCGATGACACATCGTTCGTAAGCATCGTCCCGAGCTAACATCGTAAACCCTACAACGTGGCTAATATTAATCTGCAGTATCATCGATGTCGGTTCGTCTAACCCGCCTGTATGCGCTAGGAACGCTCGCGGCTCGTGGGAGCCTGCGCAGGCGCTGGCGGCCGCGCCCGCGCCCCCCGCTCCCCCCGGCCCGCCCGCGCACACCATCACCATCCGCGACACGCCCTCGCCCGCCGTCTCCGTCATCACCATCTCGGACTCGGACGATGACGCCGACCAGCCGCGCCGCAATAGGCACCAGCACAGCAATCAGCCGCATAACAATACTGGTACGTGCGCTCTCGGCCCCACCTCGTCCGTATTCGAATACATTTTTGTGTACAGAAAACGAAACAACTTTTTAAATTAAATTAAAATTAAGTGGGTATAGTTATTACAGTAAAAAAAAGGATACTTAGTTATTCGGAACTTACTTTGTTTTTTCCTGTCAGGCGGCAGCGGCAGCGGGAGCGGCGATTGCGCGTCGGCGGCGGGCGCGCCCGGCGTCATCTGCTCGGCGCGGGACGCACGCGACGAGCGGCACGTCAAGCACGAGCCGCACCAGGCCTGCCACCACCACCACTCGGTAACCACTACCGCTTTATAAGTACAATTCGATAGAGAGAGAGACCATAGACACTATTCACCAAAATCAAAACATACACACAAATTAGTCAGACATTCCACTCACGAAATCACTAGTTCAGTTTATTGCCGCTTGGGAATTGCTCGGTTACAGAGTCGTTATTTCGTTAAGATGTCCTTGTTTAAACTATCAAATCAATTCATTCATAATGAAAAACACACAATGTTAACTTTGATCACTTACTATTCTTACTCTTACGTGTTATTTCTAGCAGCCACAACTGGCTCAGCCGCAGCAGGCGCAACCGCAACAGGCACAACCGCAGCAGCCTACCCAACAGCAACAGCAGCAAGTCCAACAGCAGCCGCAGCAACAGCAGCAGCCTAACATGACGCGCGTGACGTCCGGTACGAGCGCGCAGACGACCCCGCAGTCGCAGAAGAAGCGCCTGCTCGCGCTTGCGCAGCAGGAGGCGCAGGCCAAGCGCGAGCTGCACCACGACCACACGCACGCGCACGCGCACCTGCCTCCCGTACGTATCGCTGCTTCTGTTCTGACGTTACGGGCGCTGGCTCGCTATATGCCTTTTTGAAATGTAACTCTCGACTGTATTTTATCTGACTTAACAAGAAATTGAAAAACCATAAAAAAATATAATATCAGAATTACAAAAAATATTAAATAGAAAAATAAAAATAAAAAAAGTATTTTTTTTTAGTACTAGTGAAAATCTCAATTGCCAAAAAAGATTTTTTTCTAATGGCGGTAAATATTTTACTTATCATGAATTGTTGAAATCCATTTCATGTTTGTCTACAGAGTGGTTCGACTGTACGTCAAACGAACGACTATCAATGCAATCAGTACGTGCCACCGCAACATAATAAAAGGGATAGCGTAAGTGTCACCACAAACTTGATTCTCGGCTCCTTCAGTGGAAATAGTCATAAAACCTGAATTTATTTACTGCTAGTGTTGTCCCATGAATGCATTTAAAATAACAAAAAAGATATTTATAGATAGAAACAAGGGTGAAATGTAAACACTTTAATGTTACAGAGTGGTGGATGTCGCGAATACATAACCAACGCGAGCGGAGTGAGCGGGGTGAGCGCAGTGAACGGAGTGGGCGGAGTGAGCGGTGTGAGCGGCGTGAGCGTGAGCGTGAGCGGGCCGCCCGCCGCACACAAGCACGCCGCGCCGCACGCCTGGCACCACCACCCACACCCGCACTACAAGTGAGCCCTAGCATGTCTTTTTTATCGATTCGTGAACCGGAATAAATACAACTGTCAACTTAAAACGCTTTTACATGAGAAGTCCGAAAGAAAAATATTAATTGACATTTACCGACAATATCACTATAAATTATCGCACATTTCATTGCAATTTAAATGTATATAGAATACATAGTAAATGTTGATTTCATTTATAAAAATGTTTTTTGTTTCAGGACCAGTAGCGGTGGTGTCCTGTCTCCGGGTGGTGGGGTGTCCCCGGGGTATATGCCCCAACCACTGTATGTGCCCACCTACCACTACCACACGTAAGTTTAAACATTATTAGTTTAACGTCTATAAAAACTTGTTTCTCTATATGACACATATATGACTATTGCATAGTCATATATGTGTCATATGAATAGTTGAGCGGTTATCGTATAAACAAAGTTAACCTTTCTCGACTTTCCATTTCTAGAGCTCGATTATTATTATCAGTCTAGAAACGTAATATTAATTATTTGTCAAACTACTTTGAACAAGTCTAGGTTTCATTTCAAGACGTGCAACTAATTTGTCTTGTACCAAAGACGTGATGAAGTTAAATTTCATTATTTGTGCTTACAGCGGTGGAGTTAGCAGTGTAGGCGGTGTAGCGGGACCGCCCCCAGCTCACCACGCCAGCGGTGCCCGCCTCCCAGGCTACTTACAGCCTTACTCCCCCACTTATTTAGTCCCGCAGCACCACCAGCAGCACCTGTGGTACACCGACTGATCCACCCACCGCCACCAAACGTACAGCTTGTCTCCTCGCGTTGAGCTCGGTGGCGAGACTATATTCTGGAGAGGTCATTGTTAACACACACATAAATTTTCGGCCGAGCGGCCGCCACGTCCCCCAAGCTCACAGCCAGGTTTTTGGCTAGAGGATTTAAATAATAAATTGTTACATCTTGAAGATTTGGAGCGGGCTGCTGGAAGACCGAGCGGCGTCTAGCGTGAGTGTAGTAGTAAGAGACATGTATAAGTAGCAAATAGTGACGTGCACTCGGTGGGGTTGAGGCTGGGCGCGGCGTTAGTGTTGGTTGGCCTACGCCGCAGTTCAGCCGCAGGGACCCTCGAGTGATGTGAAGGAATCACTGTTCGATCATCACACTGCAATTTTTAAATAAATCCATGACAAGTGTGTTACCTGTTCCTTTATCGCGTCGCGACGCTGTACGATACTGAAACGATACTTTCTTGTACAAATTGTGATTTTTTTTCTTAAAGTAGATATGCGCTTTATATTTTTCAGGCGATGTACTACACGTACTCGCGCTTACGAGTTATACTTAATCGAATAAAAAGTGTTTAATCATTATTTGTTTAGATATTTGTAATTTATTACGTGATAGCGCACGTAAGCGCTTTCAATGTATGTATAGGTTAGCGTTGCATTATTTTGTATCTATTATGTCCTGTCTACCCATACTAGTAAACATAATTATTCACATGTATTATATGGATTGTAAATTTTGCGTTATATTTTGCTGTAAAAGCGAGTAGGTTGCATTTACTAATATTTTATCATAGTTTAGTGTTTGTACCAAATCATTTTAAAGGGAGGATTTTTTCAGCAAATATAATAATTAATAACCAATGCGTTCGTTTAAATATGCGTGTTTTAGTTTTACGTGGCAGTGATTTCGTCAATTATAGATTTTGATTCACTTGTACGTAGTGAGTGATGGTTCGCTTTAGATATGTCTTGAGATTTGTTTATATGTTACGTTCCATAGCACTTAACACAAACAAATGTTTATGCTGTGTTTACTATATTATAATCGAAATTAAAGGGTTTTATATTACGTAGGGATAATTAAATGTGTAGGGCGCGGTGATGGACTACTTGGATAGATGTAGATTCGAGTATATTAAAGAAAATAAAAAAAATCCTATAAGATATTTTATAAACATTTAGTACACACTAATGATAAACTAATGTTATTGTAATGCATGTATAATCAATCACTTTTAGATAGATCGAAATTGTTTAAAAAATAATAATGTCCTTTATAGAAGATGAAAAAAAATTATGCAATTATTTTTACGACTGCAATTGATTTTAGTTTAATATTTTGATAAGTGTTATTAGACACTAGAGCTACTATTATTTGCTGACTTAATACGCGTCGATATACGACTGGGTATTTCAGTTTTGCAGTTTTTAACTATTATGTATTTGTTCAGTAGGTCAGGCCCCCAAACTTGAACCGTTGTTCACGATGCGAGCCGCGCTGCGGTCAGCCCCCGCGATAAACATAAGTATTAAATAAATAAGTCATATCGTACAACTTTCGTAGTCATATAAAGGATAGATCCATAGATACAGGTTGATTCCCCGGGCGAGTTGACCGCGAGGTTCCTAATATATCTAGCATACGCTACGTACACACGCCATAACGTTCTGACTGCATCTTTCACGATATATTTATACGAAAATCTATTTTCGTATGACATGCATAGTAAATTTTTTATATTAGAGTAATTACTGTAACTTTACAAAAATTCTCATGTTTCGTTGGGCAATCGTGTTAAATATGTATAGATTGTATAATTATTGTATGTTATTAAATGTTTCGAAAAGTCAACTCTCACAATATTAAGTGTTAGTGTAACTTTGATGTAGTGTGTTTTATGAAGCTTTTGATGTCTTGCAAATGTACTGATTATGAATGTTTAGGTAAAATTTATATCCAATTAAAATTAGTATTACGAACAATTATGTCCCACGCAAAGAGCTTTCATCTATTTGCTACTAATACTAAGAAATAATGATAGTGTGTCGTGTGCTCCCTGTAGCGTATGCTGAATATGATTCCTATTTCCTATTTTATTCTGTGTGTATCAATAAAATAATATTAAGTGTTTAATTTATAAATACCCACATAATCGCAAGTTTTTATCAAAACCACTGCATTATTTTAATTCACTTTAATTATTTCACTTTGAAAATGTTTTATGTGACAAGACTACTATGTAACATTAGTTTTTATTAATTTAGTATGTTAGTTTGCTGCCCGACAATAATGATTATGTTTAGTCCTGTGTTTCTTATGGTTGTAGTTATGCTATATGGTCTGTTTATTTGGTATGGGAACATCAGCAACAAAGCTAGTTTCGAGCGCCTTACTGATTATGTCGACAACTATTTAACAAAACTTTTTGATTACTATTAAAACTATTTTTATTTACTTTTTCCTTTGTAATTTAAAATCTTCCACGTGAATTTTTTAAGTCTGTCTACAATTTCTACGCTACAATATTCAAACCTGAATGTTATTATAATGAACTTACAAACAATGAATTTGATGTGTGCATTGTACACAATGTTCTCATACAAATGTGTTGAAATTATGTATGTACCTACTCAGTAAGACGTTCGATAGACTGCGACCGCTAGTACCTTTGGGTGTAAAAATACAAAAGCTACTCCTCTTGTGTTTCTCTGTTTTCTAAATTAATTTCTATATGCAAATACATGAATAAATATAATTTCATTAGGGAAAATGAATTGTAATGATATTTTATTTTTAGCACAGTGCCTATTAGTTCATTTCAATTTGTTTGTATTATTGTGTAATGATTATGTTCATTGATTTCGCAGTTGTTTAGCATGTTGAAATGAAATAATTATCCCAAAGCCCAAAGGCACAGCGGCTCGCCCGTCCCGAAGCGAGAGGCCGTGGCTGTGTTCCGAGGTAGGCGTGTAAGGCACTCATTGATCTCTGTTCACATGTGCACATATTATATATATCTATGTACGATGTACCCCTAACGTTATTGTAGCACGGCGATAGATCGTCTAAATCTTTCATTTTAGTGATTTTATTATTTTTAATGTTCTATAGGAGTTTTGGGGTTTACTTTTAAGTTTATAATATATGGAATGTTAACACATTTTCTATAATAATTTTATCCTAGCGTATAAACGTCTGCTTACGGTATCGTTTGAAATTGCCTTATTCTTTTAGTGATGTGTATATGGGGCATGTTGTCGCGGCAAATTCGGTCCGACGTATCGCAGTGTGCATACGCTAAACATCTAAACGTTTGTCGACATTATTCTGTGATTATTACTCATTATTATATTAGTTCGGAAACTGTAAATTTTGGGTTGTTGCAATAAGGAAACCCTTTGGTTTGTATAAAATTGCATTTTGCGAAGCAGCTGTATGAAATGCCCCGTGTATATATAAATTTAATTAAGTTGTGTATGGTTTCACCATAACACGGTACCGATTCTTAAGACTTGTACGAATAAACATGATTAGCCAAATTCGAATGTCGATGACGACAATAATATATTATTCTATACGGTAACAATTTAATGTACAAAATACTCTTTGTAAGATGGTAATATTTGCAAAAATGTTATCTGGTAGCAACAACCTGCAGCGTGCACTGTAGACTGCGCGCAATATATTCCTCTGTGATTGCGTTACTTTGGTAACTGCATTGTATCGGTGAAACTGTTATGGTAGGCTTACGTTTGGTTTAATTGATATAACTTTTAATTAAGTACCTGTCGGTACCAGCTGAGAACTAACTCTACGATAATGGGTATTTTATGTTTTAATGTAGCTTTTAGGAGCTTGTGTAACACAAGTCGATTACTATTAACATGTTTTAAATTCGATATGTGGGTGATCAGGGGATATAGTACTGATGTTGCTTTAGTTTCTCTTCAATAATAATCACTTAGTTTATTATTAGATGAAAAATTGTAAATAAACATCCAAATATCCCTTATTTAGTTTATTTTTATTTTTTCCTATACCTTCATCCTTTTTTATTTTTTTGTCGTATCCGTGGGCCTGTCTTCGTGCATCACAACTAGTGTCCCGCGTCCGTGGCGCCGCGCGCAGTCAATGGCGCGGCGAGCGACGCCAGAGCTGCTGTCTAGACAATAACCCAGTGTCAGACAATAATCATTATTCTTATTTCTCATTTAGTAGACACTTTTTGTTGGCCCTGTTATTAGTAACGATAGTATCTACGTGTTAACATAGACATAGGTGTAGCATGGAACATGTTTTAGCACAATTATGCAGAGATCATCAGAATATAGTAAATAGCTCATAAATACGAAGTCTTTTCCATAGCATATCTTTATAATGTAATTAAATAATTTAATATATTTGATGTGTATTAGAAGCGTTGGTATACCAAAAGCATTCGTATGTTATATAAACTAGTTATAAATGTAAGCACTACGTATTAAGAACGAGTACGACACTTAAGTGCATAGAGTAGTTTTTTTAACAAGAATGTGATTTTCCATTTTCTACAGCTAGCACTTGTCTACATATTTTAATAAATTAAAGTACCAATTATCTCTTTAGATTCCTTATAAAATAATTATATTCACTCTTACGAACCGTAGTAGCATTTAATTAATATTTTAATTTCTTATATTTTAATATGGTATTGTATTTTATTATATTAACTATATATACATAGCGTAACGTGGTAACCTGAAAAATTAGAAGTTGATAAATTTTAAAAAGTCTTGTAATTGAATATATATAATAATTTCTAAAATTTTCTTTGTAACGTTTAAAGTAAACGTACGATATAAAGTTTCCAAATCGACTGACTGTTACTCATTTATATTATAGTAATTGTAAATCGTGCTTAGTCCGCAATTTGTAATAGGTACAATGGTAGTCGAGCACACATGCTACGCACGTAACGTATGGGGTACTCCATTTGTTGCTACTATCATCATTC